GTGGAAGAGGTGGACAGCAGGTCATCGGCTGCTGAGCGGGCCGACTCGGACAGCCAAGTGTCGAGTGATGCTGCGAGTGTGGGGCGTCTATCAACGCCTCCTTGCACAGCACTTCGTGAGTACACAGGCCCGAGAGGCACTCGCCCTGAAGACCCTCCAGTGACACGGAGCGGTTGGGTAAGTAAACCGCCCACGTGGCTCGGTGACTACGTCTACATTGCCTACGAAAATACAAATCCAGATGATGATGTGAACTCGTTGCCTGCTGGATGGAGGAAAGGACGAGCTGCGTGGCAACGTGCTATCGCGAACGAGTTGATCCTTGCATGGTGGGAGGACTATTGCTGCATGAGTACTGGCGAGTTTGAAGAGCCAGATACTTTCGGTGACGCTATGGAGAGTGAGCACTCATTGCAATGGAAAAATGCAGCTGATGATGAGTTTGATTTGTTGATGAAGAACGATACCTGGGAGTTGGTCCCGCGTGAGAAGCGCATGAAAGTGCTGCAGAATCGCTGGATCTTTCGCGTCAAGTATCTAGCGAACGGAGAGATCGAAAGATTCAAAGCGAGGCTCGTGATCAAGGGCTTCATGCAAATTTATGATATCGACTACCTAGAGGTGTACTCGCCTGTTGTGAGGCTGGAGACACTGCGTGTTCTCTTGACACTGGCGGCTGTCTGGAATTATGAAGTGCATCAGATGGATGTCACTACTGCTTTCTTGAATGGGGCGATTGACGTGGAGGTCTATATGGAGCAGCCTGAAGGCTACAAAGTGAATGGCAAAGAGGACTGGGTGTGCAGATTGAAGAAGAGTCTGCAAGGCTTGAAGCAGGCGCCCAGAGTGTGGTTTCAGCTGCTCAAGTCGTTCTTGGAGGAGCAGGGTTTCACGATGCTGCAGTCGGAGGCCTGCGCGGCTGTGAAAGTAATTGATGGGCAGTTGGTCTTCATCCCTCTCTATGTTGATGATCTGATTTTGTTTGCTCCGTCGATGGAGCTCATCAACAAGATGAAGAAGATGTTCGAGGGCCGGTTTGCGATGAAGGATCTCGGGGAGTTACACTACATTCTAGGCTGGGAGATCACGCGGAACCGGGCCGAGAGAACGATGTTCATTGGTCAGCAGAAGTATGCCGAGACCGTGCTCAAGAGGTTCAACATGCAGGACTGCAATGGCTGCAAAACGCCGAGCACGGCGGATCTGAAGCTGAGCAAGGCCATGTGTCCGACCGAAAACGATGAAAAGCAACTGATGAGATCGAAGCCATCTCGTGCTGTGGTTGGCAGCCTGATGTACCTGATGCTCGGTACCCGGCCCGATCTTGCCTACCTCGTTAGAGAGTGCAGTCAGTTCTTGGAAAACCCAGGTCTGTTGCATTGGAGAGCTGCAAAACGTGGATTGCGCTACCTGAAAGACACAGCGGACTGGGGGATCCAGCTTGGTGGCCTAGCGTGGTCAGATCAAAAGCTGGATGAACATCTGAGAGCATACGCAGATGCGGATTTTGCAAATCGAGTTGATGATCGAAAGTCTGTTGCAGGCTACGTGACTCAATTTTGTGGGAGCATCATTTCGTGGAGCAGCCAGACGGAGAAGACCGTCGCGCTGCACACGACCGAGGCCGAATATATGGCTCTTAGTCTACTGGTGCAGGAGATAGTGCACTTGGGCCAAATGCTGAAGGAGCTGCAGGTGCAGCAAATTCAGCCATCCCAAGTCTTTGTTGACAACGAAAGTGCAAAGAAGCTTGCCAGCAACCCTGTGTTTCATTCTCGGACCAAGCACATCGATGTGCGCCACCACTTCGTGCGTGAGCGCATCGATTTGAAGGAAATTGACGTGCTTCGAGTGCCAGGAGTTGATAACGTGGCCGATGCTTTTGCAAAGCCATTGGCACGTCCGGCATTTGAAAAACACAGAGCTGCAATGGGATTATTGCCAAGGGCAAGATTTGGAGATGCATGTTGATGGGAATCCGTAGGTGGGGCTGTTGCGGATTATACTGATCCCCACTATACTACTTGCAGTTGGAGTAAGACAAAAGGTGAAAGAGAAGAATCTAGGCCTCAGTTGAGAATATACACACGACCAACAAAGTAGCTTTTGCCGCCCAGCTGAGTGTTGTCGTTGCTTCCATCTCTGCGTGAGCAGCACCAAGAGGACACTCTACTTCACATACCATAGGTAAGATACGACCACACGGGCCGCATCGGCCCCAGCCGGGCGGCGTCCTGCCCGTGTCGTCCAGCTCCAAGCTCGAGAACATCCGCGCCGGCAAGAAGATCGTCACGCACGAAGGACGCATGGAGCCCGTGCCGCCGCGCGCGCTCGAGACGAGCGAGATCCCGGGCATCGTGGCGGACTACCGCTCGGCCGCGGAGAACGCCCTCAAAGCGGGCTTCGACGGCGTCGAGCTGCACGCCGCCAACGGCTACTTGCTGGAGCAGTTCCTGCACGACGGCATCAACGACCGCGCCGACCAGTACGGCGGCAGCGTCGAGAACCGCGCGCGCTTCCTGTTCGAGGCACTGGAGGCCATCCTCGAGAGTCTGGACTCGTCCAAGGTGGGCATCCGACTGTCCCCGTTCGGCGGCAGCTTCGGCGACAAGGACTCGGACCCCGTCGCCACCTACACGTACGTGCTGAACAGGCTCAACAACTACGACCTGGCCTACGCGCACCTGATCGAGCCGCGTGGCTACCACGTGCGTGACCCGCTGGCACCCGAGAAGGGCTCGGCGCGGCAGTTCCGCGAGACGTACAAGGGCGTGCTCCTCGCCGCGTCGGGCTTCGACCGGCAGTCGGCCGTGCAGATCGTGGAGGAGGGCGCGGCCGACGCCGTGGCCATCGGCCGCCACTTCATCTCGAACCCGGACCTGGTGCGGCGCTTCCAACTCAACAAGCCCGTGAACGACTACGACACGGACACGTTCTACCTCGGCGACGCGCGCGGGTACACGGACTATAATACCCGTTCCTGCAGGACGAGTAGGTAGAGCAGTAAAGACGACGTAGACAGCAAAAGACGTGCCACTTCCGTAAGACTGCAAGGTGAAGCGTACTGGAGGTGGCTGCGTACTCTCAAGTAAAACAAATTGTTGGTAGTTAAAACTACCGGTAGTTGCTGCAGGCACCAGGCACGTACTGTTACTGCCTCGGTGTGGGCTTGGGCGTCTTGTTGGATCACTTGGCGCGTTTAGTGGGACGGCCTTCTTCACCCTCTTGGTTTTCACGTGCTCGTTTCTTGGATGTTTCCGTCTCGCCACCTTGATCGCCTAGTGGCCCTCACCACTGCCACCAACGTCACTCTCATCGTCACTCTTCTTCCTTGTCACCCGGCGCGTACGCTAGTGCTTTACGGGCGTTCTGCAACAACTTGTCGCGCGTCGCGGTAAGCGACAACTTTGCATACGAACTAACGTCCTTGTTTCGTTTTTCATCTTCATCGCGATAGTCCAGGTCGCCCTCCACAAGCCCCAGCGGGTCATACTGAGACTCCACCATGTTTGATAGCATGGAAGCCACGCCGTCGCTCAGGAACGGGTAGGTGACCCTGTTGAGCAAACGGAGGCAGATCGTGAAAACAGGCTCCTCCTCCGAGACACTCGACACACTTGAGACGCCAGGATTGCTCTCGATCTTCGCCCGCTTCTTCGCCTGACTCCCGATCGTCTGACTCTCCTCCTTCACCTCAGAGGCGTTGCCTTTCTTCTTGGGCTTAAGATTGTCTTTCATTGTCGTGGCATAGATGAACTTGCCGTCACTCTTCCGACCGCGCACATTCATGTAGATGCGAATGGTATCACGGACATCCGTGGAGCTCAGCGGTTTCGGATCCCCACCAATTTCATCAGTAGATTTCCCCGCTGACGAGTTCCCATCACTGTTCTTTCCGAACACAAACCAGGGGCATAGTTTCTCCGTCGCTGCCCTGGAAAACCCACCATCGACTGGGGAACGATTCTTCACTTGAATCAACATCATCAACACTTCCTGCTCCTCTTGTTCACCCCTCGTTGTCTCCCCACCGACTGGCCTGCTGTTGGATCTCTTCTTAAACATCGGGATCAACAAATCGGCTCCATACTGGTTACGGGGGAAAATACCTGCAGCTTGACGCCCCAGCAAAAACCAAAGCGTGTCCTCATTCGGCTCAAGCTGCAACTGCACAAAGTGGGTGAACCCCATGTACCATCCATCCCACTTCGAGTGCCACTTGTTGAATTCTGCTCTCAAATTCTCCTTGCTGATCATCCGCTTGAGATATATCGGCAGCTTTTTCTTGCCGTGTAGCACCTTCAAGAATTGCTGCACCGGTACAAATTGCCCGATCGTGTGGCACCACTGGGAAAAGTCTTTGTCCCCCATCACACACGTGTCCATCGCCAGAAGCAGCAAAATCCGAGCAACCATCTCGCCAATTTCGCCAACTCCACCGGTGTCCAATGCTTCATCCAAAAGGAGGTTCTTGAGTTGCGGCAGGATATACTTTGCCAAAGCATGTTTCAGTTCATACCACACTTTCATCGCTCCTAAGGCGAGCACTGGGTCCGAAGCGTAGCTGGTGACGTAACCTTCTCGCTTGAAATTCACATACGCGAGAATCGCCATGAAGTCGGCAGTCGCCCGAGATGCCAAAGCCGACGTTGAATGCGGGCGCACGCCCAGTCGGCAAAGCATGGAGGCGACACCAAACATGGTATCCTTGTTGTACGCATTTTGCGAAGGGGGAATCCCCAGTAGCAGCTTGTTCGCCGCAAGATTGATCACATCTTCTCTATCCGCAGGATTGGGGCAAGTGCTGTACCACATCGGACGCCCCATGCGGCACAACGCGTGCCAAGCTTGACTCGCATCCCCGGTAACGATTCTCTTGTACATAGCTATCTTAGCACGTTCTTGCTGTTTCTTCTTCTCTTCGTCTTTTTCAGCTCCCACCGCAACCTGAGTTTCCTCTTCCATTTCTTCATCTTCTGCTCCTGCATCTAGTATTTCCTCTTTCATTTCTTCATCTTCGCCGGCTTGTTTTTCTTCACAGTATTGATCCCAGTGTGCGTCCATTGTCTCAGCTAACACAACTGGCGCAAACGATGCCAACTCTCCATCGAAAAGCCGAGATGATGGATCCAACAACAGCGGAGGCGCCAGGTCCGAGATCCTGGAGTTCGTATCAATCAGCACGCCGAAAATGCATCCACGATGGCCGATATCTTTGTTCACGGATCTGAGAGCATTTCGCAACATTCGGAAGTCATTCTTCTTGCCTCCCTTCTCAGCCAGCAGACTTCTCGCTTCATCGATCACCAGAACCACGATTCTGCCATTTGGATTCTTCTCGGTGGAGGTATCCCCCTCCAGCGTATCTGTTTCATCCGAAAGTTTCGCCTTTACAGAGGTGTCCGCTGCCTTTTCGGTAAACAGCTTCAGCCATTCCTTCTGAACGTCCGCCCAATGCTTGTTCGCGTAGACGTAAATTGTCTTCAATCGACTGGCGATGTCTTCCACTTCGGAGCCTTCTTGAAACAGCCAACCACGAAGCTCGCTCGTAGCCTTGGGAAACCCCGTCGACTCGTGCACACGAGCACACATGTACAGGACTTTCATGTTCAAGGCGCTCTTTTGAGCCTCAATCGCGAGTTCACGCACCATCCGACTCTTGCCGAAGCCAGAACTCTGCACGACCGCCACACATGGCGCCTTGTACTTTGTGGGGGTGTAGGCCTTCCAGCAGTCCCGCAGATACTGTGCGAGGTCGAGGTGGGCTTCGCCGAGGTACCGGCCCTTGGTGAACGCCTCCGCGATTCGCTTCATTTCATTTTCATCCAACTTGGGCGTGCCGGAGCGGGCTTCAGGGACAAACTTTGCCAGGAGGTCTTTCACCGTCTTGGCCGCAATAGTTTGTACAAGAGGTCGAGACACGCGTGTATGCCCGTATGCTCTTATGATCTCCACCCATATGAATCCATGTATCTGGTTCTGGGAGGTCTCGAGTTGGAGTGTGGCTTTGTTGGAATAGTCGACCAGCATCCACGCAACGAAAAGATTTTTCTTTGGCGATGCGTCTGCTCCAAGCTTCCCGCTCATCTGAGCAAAGACACTGTCGTCCACGAACGCGGCCAAAGCCTGGGGATCCAACTGGCTGGACATGTCCATCTGCAGCAGCACAGCAGTACACAGTCAGCAATGCGGCAGTAGTATCATGACGACGTTGGCAAGGGCGCGGGCATGCCTGCTAGTCCCGGTGGGCGGTGGCGCTACAGGACAAGGCTTGGAGGGGAAATGTGGAAATGGCCGGTTGGATTTTTCTTCCCTCAGTTTTGTACCAGAAACACGGTACCGCATCTACGTGATATACAGTGCGCGCCGAAATTATAACCGCACCCCAAAAATTATTTTTTTAAACCAATGATTGTGCTTTCGGCGCCAAACCGCTGCTTATGATTCGTCTAAAAACGATAGAAAACAGATGCAACAATCAGAATCGAAAAAGCTGTAACCGTTTTTTTGCAATGGACGAAAAACCGACTTTGGGTCGGGTCAAAATTATAGCCGCACCCGGTAAGCTATCGGTAAGATTGGTGGAGAGCTGTTTCAAGCGTAATAAATGAACTAACTCCATTGAACAGCTCGAATAACGCCTACCGGTACAGTAAAGTGCGTCGATAAGGAACGCCTGATATACATTGAAAGAAAAAGGTATATTGATAATTAAAGGTTTGACTCGTCACATGCAGACAGCAAATGCACTGATTTACTGCACTATGTAGTTCATGTCGGACTTCGCGACCAGAGTCTCGGCTTGAGCCCACGCAGCCAACTCAGCATAGGTAGCACCCGGTAGATCACGACGGCGATGACAGATTAGCAGCGACTGAAGCTTGGTCAGACGTAGCCGGCTCTCGAACGGTCTGGAAGTGGCGGTCACCATGGGAGTTGTGAGCAGCAGAGCGAAAGTTGGTTAATGAGGCATGCAGACATGTACCTGGCGCGATTCCCGCGCTCACAGCGATCCTCATGCTCATGATTCCCTCTCGCGACCTTTAGGTTCCATTTCCCCCGACTTGGGAGCCGCTCCATCCAGCCGCTCTTGAGGCTCGGTTTCGGAACTGTGATTGGCGGAATGTTAAACGGGACCGAATGATTGGTAGAATCATATAACTAATTCAGTACAATTGGCACACAATGGGTACAAGCGAGGATTCATGTCTTGTCGTAGAATATAAAATGTCGCCCGTTCCTTATCGACGCACTTCACTGTAGTAAGCTGCTCAAATAAGGTTAAGCTGACGCGGTTGATAAGATTCAATGGAGACACGCACTATCTTGAATTTGTATAGAAGAGTGGTGTTTGAACAGTGTGGAGAGGTCTATACTCGAAGTTGAGGCTGTCAGCTGACTAGTGTCTTCATTGGCGTCTATTCAACATGGTAGCGATGCTGGGCTTGCTCAGTTCAGCAACATGTACCAGAAAACTCGATCGATTTTTTTCCGGGTCAATACAAATCCTTTATACTTGATGTTTGTATTGGAAAGCACCGCCAAACCCAGTCACAAATTTCAATCAAGCCTAGTCCCGTACAGTGCGTAGTTTGGTAAATACATGGCTACGTATCAAAAGTAGAGTATTTCTTCCTGAAAATAATGCCCGAGTTGCTTCCAGAATCCTCCTAGTGTTGTCTCGGAAGTCCGGCCAAATTGCCACCAAGTGTTTAGTGCGCTTTATGGTATTAATAATTGTGCGAACAATAACTTCGGCGATGCGGTACATACTGTTGCGGATTATACTGATCCCCACTATACTACTTGCAGTTAGAGTAATACAAAAGGTGAAAGAGAAGAATCTAAACCTCAGTTGAGAATATACACACGACCAACAAGGTGGAATTTGCCGCCCAGCTGAGTGTTGTCGTTGCTTCCATCTCTGCGTGAGCAGCACCAAGAGGACACTCCACTTCAGGTTATGAGCCCAAGGCTCACGCGAGGGGAGCACAGCAACTAGGACGTCATGGTAGAGCAGAAGAAGACGCCCAAGGAGTCACACGAGGAGAAGAGGACGATCCCGCCGTTTGACGGCAAGGACTACGAGGTCTGGCACGAGCGAGTCAAGCTCAAGGTGGAGAGGAAGAAGCTGTGGAAGTACTCCATGGAGGACTTGCTCGAGCCGGACGAGAGCAAGGAGGCAGAGGCGCACGCGACGTGGACGAGCGAGATGGCCCACGCCAACGAGATCATCTACGACGCAATGACGAATCACATAATGAAGACTGTGAAGTATGAACCCACCCCGTTTCGTGTCATGGAGCGCCTGAAAAAGAGATTTATGGGCAAGACGTACCTGAAGTACGCTGAGGAGAGGGCCAAGCTCAGTCGGCTACGGCTCGCTCCCAACGGCAATGTGCCAGATCACCTGAGCGAAATGCGTCGGCTGATGGAGACCATTGCTGGAGTCGGGCGTCCTGCGGACGAGTATGTAAAGCCAGCACTATTGATTGGATCTCTGCCGCGCGAATATGATCATGTTGTACAGACGTTTCTCGCCAGCCACAAGCCCCAAAATGCTGATGATCCTCCTAATTACGAACAACTTGAACTCGCATTGGAGATGGCTTACGACCATCGCCAAGGTCGGAAAGCAGAGGGCGCCAAGGACAATGATGATGAAGAAAAGGCGTTCTTTGCTGGTGGAGGAAGAGGTCGAGGACGTGGTCGCGGCCGTGGACGTGGTGGTCGATCTGGAGGACACGGGCGCGGTTCCGGTGGTGGACGTGGTTCTGGCGGTCGCGGGAGCCAAGGTGGTGGACGTGGAACTGGACGTGGCCAAGCCGGCAGTGGACAAAAGCCAGGTGGTGCTTGTTATCACTGCCATGAAGCAGGGCATCATGTGTTTGATTGCCCGTTTCTTGGCAAGCGACCTCCAGTCGAGGATCGCAGCAGCACCCAAGCTCAGAAGCGCGTGAAAATGAGTGGAGGAAAGAGTGCTAAGGCTGCTGAAACGAGTAGCTACGCTAATGAAAGTGATGACAGCGCGTATGTTATTCTTCAAGTGATGAAAATGAAAAAGCCGGTCGCAGACAAAGCCAATGATAACTGGTACCTGGACTCTGGTGCATCGAGTCATATTTCGAACCAGCTCACTGATTTCATGGAGTTCACGCCTCTTAGCGCCCGGATTCGAGTTGGAGGAAAGAACTCGCTGGATTGGTACTGTGGTTAAAGAGCTGGAGACTACTGGTGGGAGGTGCTAACTGACGCTGCGAGGAGTTCGTTATGCTCCAGAGCTGCAGTGCAGTCTCTATTCTGTGCGACGGCAACTGAACCAATATCTGCCTGAACGTGATCGTGTGAAGGTGCACTTTGATGAGGCAGATCGCGCTGATGTTATCTTACAGGCTGGTGTGACTACCG